TTGCGTTCAGTGCACGGTTCACGCTCACTTGACTGGCCAGTCCTTAAACCTGGCAAAGCCAGAAGAAAAAGGAATGTTTTTTTTGTGTGTAAAAATAGGACTTGAGAATATTAAAACTAAGAAACACACTGGGAGAAAGCTGCAGGGAGCCTGCCGTTTCGGACACGAGAAAGTGTTTATTTCCATCTGTATGTCGCTCGCAACACCTTCTGCCAAGACGCATAATGTCATCCGTTGCATCTTTCTTATTTTGGCTCATCACTGGCAAATCTGAGCTTCTTCCTGGGAAAAAAAGTCCAGAGCAGGCTCAGAGCCAGGGCAGTGAGTGGGCATGGGTAGGTGTCATGGGCCAGAATTTTTTAAAACGGCTTGTGCTAGTTTAGAACACCTCAGGACACAATGTAAAAGAAGGTATTGATCGATTTAATCCATTGATTGAACTATAGTTTCAACAGGCCAGACAGATCTTGGACAAATGGTCTTATTTTCATGTTGAGCTTAGAGACCAGGTGCACAACCAGACTAGACAGAACAGAGGGCGGCACACCTAGGGCTTCACAGCTGTCACGGGAGTGTACCGTGACAATATCAGGACAGCCAGGTGCAGCTGCCCTTGCCAGTCTTCAGCAGCCATGCAGTGTCATAGAAGTTTGGGTGCTGTATTCAGCTACTCGAAATGTGCTTGAAGTGGGCATTGGGAGTAAAAAATCGGTGAAATACACCTTTTAATTTTGGTACCCCTGTACCTCTTTTTAAGGAACTAACGAACTTAATTCATTCCCAGAAACCCTTTCGTATAGCAAAAATCTGTCAAAAGAAAAACCTCCATTATTTCAAGGTGGGGGGGATTGCAATCCGTTCTGGATCCCTGCTTTAACTTTTGTCTCCAAAATGACAGTGACATATAATAATAACTAGCATTCATACTGCGGCTTGTGTTAGTAATAAACACTGCTTATCTAGTTAGATATCATTAATCATACCAAAGTACAGTAACCACTTTCATTTGCTTTTTGCATAATTACACGCGCGCACACAATTTTCATTTTCTCAACATGTTTAGGGTCCATGATAAAGGCTAAACCACAAACTTCCTTACACAAAAAGTGCACAATAGCAAACAGTGCACAAGGCAAGGCGTGGTGAACTGTATCACGCACATCTCTCCTTCCACTCCATGGGCTCTGTGCTACCTACCACCCATACCAGTCAGTGGAAGGTGCTGCTTAACTCGACATGAAACGGGTCGCATGCCGCCTTCCACTTCACTCTGTACATTTGGCAGACGTTTCCTCCGTGTTGCTTCTTTGTAGTTTGAAGTTGGCTTTCGTGAAAATTGGGTATAAATTCACATGCTTTGTCTGATCGAATTTTCATAAAAAAGAACATTTGTGAAAAGAGTTAGGGGTGTATTTTTTGGCTCTCCTTTTTTTCTTCTTTTCTGTCGAGCCCTGTTGTCCTTCCTTTACTCAAATCAGCTCCTGAGCACATCCTGCCGATCTTATTATACACTCTGAAGGGAAGGTAGGATGGGCAAAAATAGAACTGAGAAAAGGCCGCCTGTCTTTGATAAGAAGCCTAAGGGTGGTGGAAGCCAGGAAGAGCAGGGACTATGACTTCCCTTCCAGCTGACAGGAGGGAGGGATCGGGTCTGGAGACGTGCCCAAAGAGCAGGAAGCGCACGGTGGCTTCACACCGTGCAAAGTGCGCAGGGTGGCACTTTGCACGAGGTGCACGTCTGCTGCACCTCTCCCCCCGGTCATGCAGGACAATCTCTCTAGCACAGGTTTGATCTCAAGAGAAAACATCGCAGGGCTCGGATGGGGACAGTGTCGGAAGATCCCATTTCCTTCTAGAGATTGTGCCTTTGGATGTCAGTAGCTGATGTGCGAAAAGTGAATAACTGCACCCGGTCGTGTCCTTTGCTGTAAGCGTGCTAACCCCATTCCTCGTTCAGCATATATGGTGCATGGTGGGGGTTTTTTTCCTCTGTGATTGTGTACTTGTGGGAAGTCATAGAAATGATGCAGCACTTGTCTGATTGCCAAGATCTGCGGAATAAAGAGTCTCTGTGTGGCAGGTCCGGTTGAGACATTGTGCCCTGCCAAAGCCCACACCATCCACGGCCATCTGGCCCTCTCCTGCCCCATGGGCTCAGGAAGACCGAGTTCCCCTACGGGGACTGGCTAGCCCATGTGAGGAAGTGACACTGAAAGACCTACATCCTGGAGCTCCCCGGCCGACAGAGAGCTTCAGACCGGCCACGCGCTCACTGTTCGGCGGCATGGCGGGGAAGCAGAGCTCTCTGTGCGCTTGAAATAGAAATAACCAACGTGAAAAAAAAAAGAAATAAAAAAGAAAACGAAAAAGCCGGGGTCAAAGTGGGGAAAAAACGCAAAAAATAAGGTCCCAATTAAAAGCCGCAAATGTTTCAAAACCCGAAACCGCAAAACCAACAAAATAAGCAACCGGGGTTGGGGAATCCCCCCAATAATCCTCCAAGGAACCTTCCCCTTTTTTAGAATAACCAGATCGATTCTGAACTTTACCCCACCCAAAACTTTTGACTGAAGTTTTTGGTCTGAATCTTAGCTCTTCGCAGAAGCACATCTTTTTCCAGTTGGTCATTTTGGATGTGTTGTGGTCACTGGCATTAGTCTAGCCCCGAGGGCTGTCAGAATGTCCTCAGAATGTGAAATTCCTTCTCTGCACAGCAACTTGCAGGACCATAAAGAGGCCGAAAATGAAATCCTCACATCCTGCTGTCAGCTGAGATTGCAGACGTCAGAGAGACCTGCCTCGGTCTTTGTGCGCATCAGCCTGATGCTTACAAACAACCCTTTTCCCCGTCTCGGAGCTCTTCAAGGGAGGTGGTGGCTATTTTCTGCAGCTTGCTTCATGCTGCTGTGGTTTTGGGATACTGCTCTGAAGAAACAGAAATTACAGTGCTGAATCTGCTTAATTTCAGAAGGAGAGTGCCAACGGTAGCGCTCCTATATTTAGCCCCACTGTGCAAATGAAGGAGAAGGCTAAAGCGTGATCCAGTTTAGATGTGGAAGGCAAAAGCTATTCCCACACCCCCCCTTTGATGTTCCAGTCTGTCCTGTGTGCTGGTTTAACTGTGCTGGTAATGACAGAATGCACGCAGATATAAATAGTGGAGATGTTTGTTACTGAAATCACACACCCTGACGGCTTTTGTAATCCAGCTGTTTTTGGAAACTTTTTTATGTCTGAAATGAGCTGAACTGTTTTTTTTTCCTCTTTGCAAGGCTTGAGAAATGACCGAAGTGAGCTAATTTGAGGTGATCTGGCCGCTTGGACCAGCTAAGGGGTTTGAGGGATTGTCATTTTCCTCTTTTGAATTTGGCATCAGCTTGCCTCGACAAAATGATCTTGCGACGGCACACCTGTCTTGAAAAACCCTTGTGAAGCAGCTACTGTGTTTCCTGTGAGAACTCAACAGTAAACTAAAATGGTCGTCTGAGATGCAGCCACCTCCCTCCTTCATCCCCTTTAAGAAGGCAGCCGCCAAGTCCAGATGTAAATACTGCTTCTATTAAAATTATTGGCATGCAATATGACCTCCCTTTTCGGAGATCACTGAGAGTGAATATCATTTGGGTACAACGCCTGAGAATTGGCAACTCACCACTAACTTACATCTCACGGCCGGGACGCCCCTCCTCTGCTCTCTCCCCTTTCCCAGACTAGTTTAATTGTGTGATCTTAGTCCTTTGTCTCCCTCATGGCTGATGGTGAGATTGTTCAAACAACACCCCGCCATCTGTTCTCCTGCTGTGCTCTTTCCACACATTTCTGCAGTGATGTAATGTCCTGCTCCGCCTGCTCTGATCGGCTGCTGCTGCTTCCCTGGTCCACTCGGATCCCAGCTCCCTTCGAATCTACGGAGTGACGGGACGATAGCCCAGCTCTGGGTCCGCTCTTATTCTGTGAGGTCCCACTGGTCTTCACACTGAAATCTTTCTTTCTCTGAGGATCATGTCAGATAATGCAGGACGAGTCCAGGTCTGCATGCTTGAAGCACATTTCAAGTACAGGATCCTCAAAAACGTCTCTCAATCCGTACTAAGAGGTATGGATTCCACACATCCACGACTCCTGCTTGGCACCAGTTTGCACATGCTGCCCTGTCATATTTAGTCCCTTGCTTCTCGCCAACATGTGCCTGCCTGTTCTCTGATCTGCGAGCCCTAGATTTTCAATAGGGTTCAATG